TCTTAATAATTTTGTTGCCGATCCTATATGCTCAACAGAGCGATTTAACACGGACCAAACATCAAATTTTCAAAAATTCTGTTAAAACTTTTAAAATATATTGAAAGAAGGTGGTGGAATGCCGTTCCATTGTGTTCTATGACAAAAAAAGTGCTGATCTTTAGTATCATTTTGTATATAATTGAAAAAAAAATTTAAGGGATTTTACCCTAAATCTAGGTGTTTTTTTACTTATATATTTCTCTAAGTCTAGATTTAGGATAATATCTTTTTTATTTAGAATTTACCTTAAATCTAGATGTATATACTTATACACTATACATACGAAATATTGTATAAAATTAAATTTGTATCTCTGAAATAGTGGTTGAAAAATATCTTGTTTCTTTACTTTTAAAATCAGTTTTACTTGTTGGATATACCAACAATCAGGAAGCTATGGCAACTGAAGGATTTAACAAATTACTTATCTAATGTTGTTGTTAATTAGTGCAATGGAAATGCAGATTTTGATACTCATAGTGGTTCTGAAAAGTCATCAGATATTTCATTTTCTAATGCAATGAGATCTTGTAACACTCCATACCTTTTATTTTTTGCGATTCTGATGGATTTACGTAGACAGTCTTTTCTAATTTTTTCTTTTAACGAAGTACATTCCTTTAGAATACATATTCTATAAATGGACATCGGGAAAACTTTGTTAAGCAGACATTGCTTAGGAAATTTCAGCTTCCTATCCACCTTTATTAACTTCAATGCCAATTTCCTATACTCCTTATATTTCCTGGCCAGTGTTACCATATTGCTAATAAATTGAATATCAAGCTTGTAAAAGACATTGTACACAGTTTTGTCAAGTATGGCACAAGCGGAGGCTTCAGTAGTTAAATGGAATGAAGCATCTATTCTCAAGACTGTGCAGNTACCCTAAATCTAGGTGTTTTTTTACTTATATATTTCTCTAAGTCTAGATTTAGGATAATATCTTTTTTATTTAGAATTTACCTTAAATCTAGATGTATATACTTATACACTATACATACGCTGTCAATGATTGCAACTATTAAACAGCATGCAAATAATCAAAATAGCTAATACTTAATTTAAAGAATGATGAAGAAAGAATAATTGATAACAATAACTGATGATGATTGCTTAATATCATCCACATATTGAGACTAATAATATGAAGAGAGAAATACAATAACTGAACTCTGATTATAACAAGCAGTTATTTATTGTGACATCATCACAATGCCAAGCTGCAATTTTTAATCATATTTTTAATTAATTTAATTTAAAATATATGCTTTCCATCTCAAATTAGTAGTGGCTTGTCCCTGTACATCATACTTTTTTTTTAACAATAGAGTTGTGCCAGTCATCTATCTAACACTTTTCAGAGGAAAATTTTTGAATTGAAATAATAATAGGCAACCCATTAACACAGATAAATGTGAAAGCAGGAACACGCCACTCGTCAGGAAGCTTACCTTTGAATAGGTGCTCATGGAATAAAGCAAACAATGGAAATTAAATATTTAGGCGTTATTCATGACGAGAGAATTAATTTCACACCCCACATCAAATACATCATGGACAAAGCTAAAAAGATGACCAACGCCTTCATTAGTACTGCTAGGAACACATGGGGCCTTGGCCCGAACACTACTAAGCTTATTTACAGGGGTGCAATTCAACCAGCACTTCTCTATGCTGTACAGGTGTGGGGCCATGTGGCCGCCAAAGTCCGTAACTGTAAAAAACTGTTATCTGTTCAAAGGATTGCAGCTCTCTGCATTTGTAAGGCTTATAGGACTGCACCCACTAGTGCCCTTTTGGTAATGTCAGGATTGACCCCCTTCGACTTAGAAATTAAATGCATTATTTGGCTGGAAAATCTTGTCACCTTACCCTGGCAAGATTTTATCAACTCGGATGTTGACAAAATGATTAGAGTGGATAAGATTCCCTCCAGTTTGACCTTGATCGATGATATCAAAAAATTCAGCATTGACAAAAATACCCTCCTGACTTACCACTCCTCCCACCAGCTTGCCCGATGTTTCTTCGAAGATCCAGGTGATCATTCCATGTTTAGGATTTACACTGACAGTTCCAAGATGGGTGACGATGTGGGTGCCGCTTTTGTAGTTTACTCCAATTTAGGCCGCAAGCTTCACAATGCTTGCTTCTGTGCACAATACTAAGTACACACTACTCAATAGCACAGGCAAAATCTTTAGCTATTTATATGAGCTTAATTCACATTAGGCAAAAGACACTATCACATTTATTCTGACTGTAGGGTAGCTTTACATAGGATTGCAAAGTCTAATAGCCACTTAAAACTCGTCCATCTCATACACCACATAGCTGCAAAGTCTTCAGTCACTAGTACTTTCAGTTATTGATACATTCCTACTTTGTACATCAACAATCACATCAAGAAGCAAATCTTCATTCTCTGGCATGACATCACTGGTAGGCTCACCCCCCACTTTCACTACTATGATTCTTCACCACTTTTACCATAGTTACACCCTCACTCAGCTACTTACAGGACACAGCAACTTTAAGCAATACTTGCATAGATTTAACCTTGGGGACAATCCACAATGCAATTGTGATATTCAGGAGGACCAAACACCACTTCACTTAGTTTTTCACTGCAATAGGTACAATTACATTAGGGATAGTTTAATGAGAGCTGCTATTCTTGAAGGGTACAACTGGTCTTGCAACCTGCACCAACTCATTCACATGCGTACAATGTTCCATCATTTACTTGCATTCATATCCCTTAGTTGGGCTCTTGAGAGCACTCACTCTGGGGGCATAGATGGCAATTAGCTTTCCCTTGTTTTGTTTCAACTGTTGGTATATAGCTGCCTTTCAACTTTGTATTTTAATTTTTATTTTCCATCTTCTTTTCAGTCTAAATTTCGTTAGTCCTAGTTGTAAATTAGATTTGGGACTCTTAGCTTGGTTTCCAGTTAGGTTAAATTAGATTAAGGTTTGTTAGCTTTAGTCATCTGGTTAGGTTTGTCCTAGATCAGGGATGGCAAACCTTTTTGAGTCTGCATGCCACATAGTAAGCATATTAAACATACTTTTCTTTAAAAATGTTTATGCATGCAGAAGTTTTAGACTTGTAGTAACTATATTTAAATTTGGTGGAATGGCTGAGTGGTAGCTTATCGTTCTTGTGGACTCAAGATCAAAACCCCAGAAAATTTTCAGGTGGTGATCCATTCTTCACCATCCAACTGTGTTCATTTGGAGTTTGCTAAATAAAAAAGCCCTCTTAGTGCCCACAGGACGAAGTTTTAAAAAACTATATTTAAATAAATGATATGCTATAATTAGAGTAAATGTAAAGAACCTGATTGAAAAAGATGATAAACCGATATCGTATAATATGTTATGTGCCGGATGATTTCTTCGACGTGCTAATTTGGGCACGCGTGCCATAGGTTTGCCACCTCTGTCCTAGGTTACGGTAGGTTAGTTTAGTTAGTAAGTTAACATTTAAAAAAATAATAATAAATACATAAAAATGAATAATAGAAAAAAGTTTGGGGTCTTGCTCATTTGCTTTTTGCACTGTCTGTCTAGCTGTTAAGTAGTATTAAGATTCATGTTTGCATTCAGTTTTATTAGTACTAAGTAGATATGTTTTCCTACTAACAGCCACTTGGCACTAACTTCTACACTTAGCTATTCGTGGCGACACTCAATTATTGGTGTTTGCTACACTCAGGTTCTCTTTTAGACCCTTTGGGGGACTATGGCCTTGCAGTCTAAAAATTGCATGCCAACATCAAACATGGAGGGTACGTAACCTTATTTACACCATTCAGAGGGATCCTACCTTTCTCTACTGTCTATCTGCTCTCTCTCCTTCTTCCCCTTACCCTTTTTTCTGCTGGCTAAACACTTCATGTACAGCTGATGTCTTTCTTGTTTGTATGTAATACAGGTATTGTACTTGCTATTGTATTAAAACACTGCCTCCAATCAAATCTATTACTGTTTACTGTATAGGAACTCTATATCTCAACCTATCTCAAATTTTTTCGTTTCCTTGAGATTCAAAACAGACAGGTTCAACTGTATTTTGCTGCTATTTATAGTTGATATATCCAGACAGGGATTGTATTCTATTGGACAGTTTCCTGTTTGAAGTGAAAATGTTATTCTTTACTTTCAGAGATTCTTAGCATGTTAGGCTAAATTATTATAAAATGAGATAAGAAAAATATACATATTACCACAAAACCACTATGTAATATAAGCATGTCCTTTTTTTTTAATGAATTAATTTATTTTATTGTAAACATCACCTGATAGAACTAATGTGCAATGCTGGAAAGATCTTGTGCACCTGATAAATGTTATAGTGAACACACTGTATATTTTTTCCTTTGATAGGAAACTAGGATGATAAAATAATGGCTGTTACAAAATCCTAAATAAATAATAAAAAAAAATGGTGATTTTATTGAAATTTATTATTATCCAATTAAATAAATTATTTATGTTAAAAAATGATTTAAACACACTTTTTTTCTTTAATAATTTTATTGAAATTATTCAGTAAAAATTTATTTATTTTACAGAATAATCTTACAAAGCTGACAGAACTAATTGAAAAATGGCGTAATGTTGCACAAGATTCGCTAAAAGAACTTCAAATTAAATTACCAGGTCCTCAACAAAATTTGAACAAATTAATTTGTGACTTACAGATAGATCATAAATTAATAAAGTATGATTTTGACGAGGAAGATTTTATTATGTAAATTTGAGTTTTTGTAGCATACATATATGTTATTCAGTTATACTTATTTTAAAGATCTATAGAATCTTATTTCAAATAAATATCTTAAAGCTTAATCTTAGAAAATTAAATGAATATATATGACAAAGTTTTGTTTGCTGATAAAATATATGCTTGTATGTATTATATCATTAATAAATATTGAATACAGGAAAAGAAATAGCATTTATAATAAAGTTAAAAAAAAATTCAAAATTACATAGGTTAACAAATAATAACAACAAATATATTATTGCAATGTAAGTAAATATTTGATATTTACAAAATATATTAACAGTTTTATGATGATGACGACGACGACGAAGGAGCAGGCACATTATTATTTGCTTCTGCTATCTTCAAGATCGGTGTAGGTACAGGTTTTGCAATTCCCGGAGTGACAGCCTGTCGAGAAACTATAGTAACCGTGGGAGAAGTAACAGTTTTCGTGACGACACTAAATGTGGCACCGGTTTTGCTCCCAAGACTTACCGCTGGCATAACTTTTGGAATCGACGTCAAGTTCAAACGAGTAGGAACACCTTGTAATCTCGGTTTCTTGGCAGGTTTCAAGTGATAGTTGCATGCAGTTAAACTATAACGATCTGGAGGCAGACGGGGTCCAGCATTAGCTTTGATAAATGGTAAAGCTATGCTGTTTTTCTGTCTGGCAATTTCTAACAGTAACTCTCTTGGTGGTGGTGTAGTGAACGACTTGTCCATCTGTAACTGTATTGCTAAACGAACATCATCTCCATCTAATCCTCTCTTTTTGGCATGAGAGGAAAATAATCTAGCATCTTCTAATACATTAGTGACATACCGGTAAGTAAACTCCAGCATTTGATTGATTACTCTCGGTTCATACTCGATAATTCCCATATCTTTTAGTATGGCAGTCATTACCTGACCATCCTTAGGAATACTTTTAGTATTAGACATATTTAATAAAGATATACTAATTAATTCAATTGAATTAATTAAATTTAACAAAAAAAAGACGCGTGATATCCGGTCAACAAATCATAAGCCTACTTTCAAACGTATAAATGTTTTAGCGCCGCCTTACGTCAAATTTCAAAATCCAAAATTAATCAGTTTTTTTTTTTTAGGAAAAAAGATTTCTAAATATGTGATAACATATTCATAATTTTAAAAATCATTAACGATTTGAAAAAAAGTATAAGAAATATCTACATAATTACAGCTTAAAATATTTTTAGTCGCTTTTTGCCAAAAGAAATTAAGACTTTCCTGCTAAATATTAACTCAGTTTACCTTCAGTATTAAAAAAATATNAAATGAAATGGTTACTCACATAAAACATGTATATTTATAAATTTAGATGGCAAATCTATAAATTATTTATTTAGGATTATAAGCATATAATCTGAATTTTGATCATTTATTTATTCTGTTTTTTGCAGTTAATTTTGAAAAATAAATCTTTATCAAATCTTAAGTTAGTGAGTTTTGTTTATAGGATGTTACAGCATTACTGGACACATGACAAATGCAACATTTATCAAACTGTGGTTTGTGGACTCTCCAGAGTATGAAAGGTTCTTGGGAAATACATCGGAGATGTTATGCAGCTGATATTTCTAGGTAGTCAAGTGACCGAGTGACACAGAAGATGGGTCACATGACACATTTTGTATATGTCTGCTAATTTCCCTATAATTGTGTAAATATTTCTTAATTGTTAGATAAATAATAATTGATATACTGTACAATTATATTAAATACTCACTCAGTACTTCAAAACTTTAATAAATGATAAAATAAATGTAATTACTTTTATTAATAAGAACTAAACAGTTTTAAAAATTTGGTTAATTGTTTAAACCAAGGAAATAAGGCTTGCGAAGGAAATAAGGCATCTGCGGAGGATGGATAGGGTGCTTATTGTACCTGTCGTTCTCTCTGGTATAGGTGTCATACTACACAAAAACCTGGGAACATTACAATTGACTAGAAACACATACATCACACTACAGTAGGCCAATATGACATATATTGGCCTACTGTACAATATAACAATATGACATATATTGAATACATGTCATATTGTTAGGAAATTCCTGAATACAGACGCACACTTTTTAAATTTTATTTTGATTACTATGCCTTGACTGGTCTGGCATAGTACACAGCTACCAGTGTCAACCGAGTAAAATTCACAAAACCCAAAATAATAATAATAGTAAGCGCAGAGCAGCCCAAATGGTTAGGAGTTGAAAGTTGGTACACAGGGTACGTCATGAGAACGTACACTAAGAAGGGATTTTTGGAAATTCCCCTCAAAGAGAGAGGGTTAATTAAACAACAGTCGCGACCGCCGACATGACGGTAAACGTAGGTGAAATTTTAACGTCTAACAAGTGATAAATGAATATAAATAACATTTAATGAATGAATACAAAAAATGAAATGTAAGAATGACACCACGATTAAACCAAATTTATTTGGTTAAAATCATTAAATTTTTCATATTTTAAGATAATTTCTGTTATTAAAAATATATACAATTCCTAAGCCTAACAGGCTTATATTATAAATAGCAAATAAAACTCACAGACACGTCAATCGACTGTTTAACTTATCCCAAATCGATTAAATTAGCTGTCACATAGAATAAAGTACTTAAATCGAACGCATTAAACTTTAATTTACAAATATTAAATATCGTACGTTCGATTTTGGCGGCTGTCTGTTGTTTTCTTTTAATTCGGCTATCGAACGCTAGGGGATTCAAATCAATTTTTCTAATATAAAAACTGTGAAAAGTTTTTTCTTATCGTTTAAATTTCGTTTATAATTATTATATTTATTTATAAACATTATAAATAAGATTTTTTGAATAAACGTCTAAATAAACTTATTAAAATATTACGCAATATTTTCGTATGTGAATGTGAAATAGCGCGTGGTTTAAAATGATTTTTCGATGCGATTAGATTGGTATAAATTGTATAATTTCAAATGGATAATTCAAAAAGTTCACATTTAGCAGGGAGAAAAGTAAGATGCTTAAATAATATTTCAAATTTTAAATGGACAAAAACATTATTTTAGAATAAATAATGATTAAACAATTATTCAAGTTTAATTGTAACTTGAACTGAACATTAATCATTTATTTATTTACATGTGTATATCTGTACTAAGTAGCTTCTACCTATTTTACATGTTATGGGTTATGTAGAGGTATATCAAATTGTTCATGTGCATCATCTCCAGAAATTCCTATTATATTTTCTATATAGTATGCCTGTATCGTTTAATCTTTCTTTTCCCCAGCTACAACTGAAATTTGTTGTGTTTTGATACTACTAAAATTTAATTTTTTTATTGAAACCATTAATTTCACATAGAGAAATGGTACAGGTTTTTATTAAATTATATAAATTACAAGGGTGGTTTTTTTTTCAACCTCCTATGGTCCATAAAACAAAGACAAGTGTAAATAACAAAATGAATTTATTACCATAAGTTAGGTACAAACATGGTTACTTTTTGACATTATCACTGTGATGATTGAGGCATTTATCTATCTGTGGACGAGCTTTGAAATCTCTTCGCTGAATGTTGCCACCAGTGACTTGAGATGGTCCTTAACACTGTTTCGAAGGTCGTCATTAGTCTCAAACCTCTGCCCTCCTAGCCGTGTTTTCAGTTCAGGAAATAGGTAGAAGTCTCTCGGCACTAAATCGGGCCGTACGCTGGGTGTTTAAAAAGTTCCAAGTTAGGTGGAAGTCTGAAAGGTGAAGACTGTCACCTCTTTCCTGAAATGAAAACATGGCTAGGAGGGCAGAGGTTCGAGACTAATGACGACCTTCAATGTTAGGACCCATCTCAAGTCACTGGCGGCAACATTCTATGAAGAAGAGATTTCAAAGCTTGTCCACAGATAGATAAATGCCCCAATCATCACGGTGATTATGTCAAAAAGTAACCATGTTTGTACCTAACTTATGGTAATAAATTAATTTTGTTATTTACACTTGTCTTTGTTTTATGGACCATAGTCTGTTTTTTTTTTTCAACCTCCTATGTACTAAATGACAGCCATAACAATAGGCATAATTATCTTTGAAAGTAAAATAATTTCATTTTTGACATGCATTTTTTTAGTTTTAAATTATTTTATACAAACATTTGGACTCGACCAATATACTTATTTGCATTGTTAAATGGATTTGTAAAGTTAAATTTATTTATCTACATTTTTTAGTTGTCAATTATGAAGATTGTTTCTCTGTTGTTTCTTCCAAGATTGTTTTTCCTAAAATTTCCAAGCTATTCTTGGATCCAAGGGAAGACTTTTCTATATGAAGTATCATCCTTGGACTTAGTTTTTTCCCTTACGTTCCTTAAGGTTTAGTCAGACACACTGTGAACATTCCATTTCTTTAAAGGTTACTTTCAACTGTTTGGTAGGAGGAACCTCATAATATATGTATTATGTATGGTATATATAATAACATAAACAGTTTAATTATTCTATGATAATGTTATGCGTGTAACGGCAATCTATAAACTAATGCTGGCTTCGTATTTACAATAAACTTTGTATAACGTAAACATTTTTAGTTATCGCCTGTGAAGGGAGGAATATTAATTTTAAATACTATTTAAAATATCATAACAGTTTATTTTGATTTTAAATTTTCAAGTTTTACAAACCATCCACTCATGGGCGTAGCCAGAGTTTTGTTATGGAGGGCCTAGTAGAGGCCAACCTGACACAAAATTGAATTACTTCAAATTATTGTTCATTAAAATGAAAATTCCATGATAATCGATGATAACTTAACGCACATGAAATATGAAACTTTCTTTAATTACAACATTGGCCTGTGAACAGCTCATATAACAGCATGCCCTTATGTGCCAGATATGCAAAGTGAAGCAGGATCTGTGTTTCAGAATCAATTTTTGGCCGACCGAGCCATTGACCTTTTTTTTTTCTTTTTTTCTTTTTAGTATTCAAAATTTTTAGCTTTACACTTTTTTCAGCTGATTTTCTGGGGGGCACCAGGTTCCCTGGGAGGGGCTGTGCCCACCAGGCCCCCCTCGCTATGCCCATGCATCCACTACTGCAAGAAGCAAGTTTTAGGGATTCAAATTTTTTGAAAGATTATGACTGGACCATTGGTCTTTTGGTTTCTTTGCTTGTAGTTTATAATCCTAGAATATTTTAGCAAAGTAGACATTTATGTTTGAAATTTTTCATACTAGAGTGTGTCTGAAATTGTTTTTTCAATTAATATTTTACAGGCTTATGAAAATATAAAGTAAGAAACAATTTAAGTTTTTGGAAATCAAAATTTTAATTATTTTTATTTAAGAGAAATTGCTGCTGATTAAGATCATGGTATATTTTGACAGTGAGACAGTTTGAAACCAGGGGCAAGAATTATAAGTACTTTTACTGTACTTCAGTACAAATATAACACTCCTTATAATAAAAATTGATTCTGAAACACAGACCCTGCTTCACTTTGCATATCTAGCATATAACGGCATGCTGTTATATGAGCTGTTCACAGGCCAAATCGATTAACTGCATTTAATAAATCCTTAATGTTGTTATTATTTTTACATTTTTCGCATAACTAATTTTATATATCCATTACATTAAAACTATGCTTTAATATAATGGTGTATAAAAATACATTCTACAATGTTTATTTAAATTTAAAGTTTAAAAGGAATTTTTAAAATTATTTATATTATCAATGTTTATATTTTTTGTTTGTGGAATTAATCAATTTGGCAAATGAGTGGCTCATATGTAATAACATATTTCACTTATAAGATACTGCACTGTGTAAATGATCAGGTTGTGTGACTTCATTTATATGGTAAAGGAAGTTTCATTTATATNACGAACAAAAAAATAAGTTTTATTTAATATTATTTTTATTACAAAATTATGAATGTGACTTAATGGCATTAGATACGACCTAATGATTTTTGTCAATGTAAATAAATTACACGAATTATTTAACTTTTATAAAACCCAACATCGATATGAACACCA